TTTTTATTCGGAATAAGGTTTCGAAATGTTTTATTTATGCTAAAATGTTTTTAGTTTAATTTTAATTTTCAGTATAAGATTCCTTTGAATTCCAAAATTTTAGATTATAATCGTCCTCGACAACAATACTAATAATAATATGAGAATTATTTTGATTGAAAGTTTGAATCGATTTCAAGCGTGCCACCAATGGGATATAATTTTTCCTTTTTTTCAAAACATGGATGAAAACCCAGGATACGTTAACACCCTAAATCTAATTTCAATTTATCTAAAAGCACATTCACATTTCACATCCATACCTAAGCACCAGGAATATATAAACATTTAAAACGCATTTATAGATTGTAATTCATGTGAATTTATTCAAAATTCTCCTACAAATCACCACTTTCGTAGGATAACGTTAAAGACGAGCATATTCTGCCACAGAAAAGAAATTTGTATTTCCGTCAATTATAAAGAATTGCATACATTTTGAATGTTGCTTTGCGGAATTTTGGCCCATCCCCGGCGAAGCCCTGGCTTGAGGTGATCGACACTTTGGTATTTTTTAGTGCCAAACTTGCTCCAGACACAATAGTCCAACGGATTGGTATCCGGAGATTTTGGTGACCATTGTGTGCTGGATATGAAGCGAGGAAATCTAATTTTGTAAGCATTCTTGGGTTGCGCGTTGCTCGGTCCTGTTGGAATGTGCAAGGTCTGCGGCCAAATAGTTTGCGTGCCCAAGGCTTAAATACATCCTCCAGAATATGTTCGCGATAATATTCGGCATTTATTCTGATGCCACGGTCGATTAAAACGAGCGGAGAGCGACCATCGGCTGTTATGGCGGCCCACGTTTGAGTTCTGGTGGCCATTGTGTGCTGGATATGAAGCGAGGAAATCTAATTTTGTAAGCATTCTTGGGTTGCGCGTTGCTCGGTCCTGTTGGAATGTGCAAGGTCTGCGGCCAAATAGTTTGCGCGCCCAAGGCTTAAATACATCCTCCAGAATATGTTCGCGATAATATTCGGCATTTATTCTGATGCCACGGTCGATTAACACGAACGGAGAGCGACCTTCGGCTGTAATGGCGGCCCACGCTTGAGTTCTGGTGGCCAACCGAAGGTGCACATTTTCAGCTGACCTCTTTGGCAAGTAAATACGATCATTTCGTTTGCTTGCAAACTGCTGGACAACGAATGTTTTCTCATCGGAGAAAACCAAATTTGGCAGTTCACCACTTTCGGCCAAGCGAAGCAACTCTTTAGTTCTTTTGAGTCTATTTTCTTTCTGTTGCGGTGTAAGTTCTTGCACTTTTTGGAATTTCAATGGCTTTATCCCGAGCTCATTTTTCAATATTTGCCGAATGGAATATTGCGATATGTTCAGGTCACGAGCCATTTGTCGGTCAATGCGACGCGGGTTTCGATTAAGACGCTTCTTTACTTTTCGAACCATTTCTGATGATGTTTCTGTTTTCTTCCGTCCACTTCCTTGACGTCGGACTACGCTACCAGTATCACGGTAAATAGCCACTTGTGGTTTTCCAGCCAAATATAAAGAAATCACACTATCACGCTTAAATTCCATCACGAATAACTTTTTTCTGGAAAATTCTCACCGAAATGCCTCTGTACGCCTGTAAACAATATAGTGAGCTGCCTTTGGAATAATTTTAACAGCTGTCGGACGAGTGGCTTAGAAATGACAACAGTCCGAAGTTGGTTGCAGTTTTTTCATCTCACCCTGTAGTACTCATTTATAAAACCGTTCCATATCTCAATTCTGGAAACGAAAATTTATCGCAATACAAATTTGTACTGTTTCAAGTTTTATACTAACAGCGACCATAATACCTAATTTGAGGTTTCAAGAACTATCTGTTCACCAAACACCAAATCGAACCAAATATAGTTCTATTAAATATTTTTTGAGCACATGTGTTACACATTTCTTGAACCACCTGTTTATCACCCAACACAAATTTCCGAAATTCCAGATGCATCTATTAACTCTTAACAAAATTTCGCGTACATAGTACACATTTCCAAAACCAAAAGTTTTTAGCTCCATCTGTTCTCATAATACGTTGTGGAACTATTTTGAAAGTTTAATACTATTTTAGAACTTTTCCAATCCTTCGAATTTTTAAAACCTTTTTATACCCTCCACCATACTATGGAGGGTATACTAACTTTGTCATTCAGTTTGTATCTCCTCGAAATACTCATGTCAGACCCAACAAAGTATATATATTTTTGATCAGCGTAAAATTCTAAGTCGATTTAGCGATGTCCGTCTGTCTGTCTGTCTGTCCGTCTGTCTGCCTGTCTGTCTGTCTGTCTGTCCGTCTGTCTGTTGTAATCACGCTATCTTTCGAATGAATTGAGATAGGTGGCTAAAATTTTGCACACATGTTTATTTTTCCAGTAGGTTAAGTTCGTAAATGGGCCATGTAGGTCCACGTTTTCATATAGCCCCCATATAACGGTACCTCCCTATATTCGGTATTTTGATGATTTTAGCGACATTATTCACCGGAATTGTTTCAAAATTGGTATTTGATGTTCCAAATGGATAATACACCCTAAGATAGAAAATTGTCTGTGCAAGTCCCTGTCTTCGTATAGCCCCCATATAACGGTAACTCCCGATATTCGGTATTTTGATGATTTTAGCGACCTTTTTCCCGGAAGTAATTTAAAATTTGGTATTTGAAGTTCAAAATGGATACTACACCATAAGAGAGAAAATTGTCTGTGCAGGTCCACGTCTTCGTATAGCCCCCATAAAACGGTACCTCCCTATATTCGGTATTTTGATGATTTTAGCGACATTATTCACCGGAATTGTTTCAAAATTGGTATTTGAAATTCATAATGAATACTACAGTCTAAGATAGAAAACTGTCTATGCAAGTCCATGTCTTCGTATAGCCCCCATATAACGGTACCTCCCGATATTCGATATTTTGATGATGTTAGCGACATTACTCACGGGAATTGTTTCAAATTTGGTACTTGAAGTTCAAAATGGATACTACACCCTAAGACAGAACATTGTCTGTGCAGGTCCACGTCTTCGTATAGCCCCCATATAACGGTACCTCCCTACATTCGGTATTTTGTTGATTTTAGCGACATTATTCACCGGAATGGTTTGAAAATTAGTATTTAAAGTTCGTTATGGGAACTACAGCCTGTGACAGAAAATTGTCTGTGCGGGTCCAGGTCTTCGTATAGGCCCCATATATCAGTACCTCCCTATATTCGGTATTTTGACGATTTTAGGTACAATACCCACCGAAATTGTTTGAGATGTGGTATTTGAAGTTCGTAATGGATACTACAGCCTGTGACAGAAAATTGTCTATGCTGGTCCAGGTCTTCGCACAGCTCCAATTTAACGGCCCCTCCTTATATACGATATTTTGATGATTTTAGCTACATTATTCACCGGTTATTTCAAGTTTCGAATTTGAATATGGTAATGGCTTATAACAAACAATGTCAATGTATGTCCACGTCGTATAGACCCCAATATAATGGCTATTTTTTAAGGATTTTATTTTTTGAAAATTTCCAAATTCGTTGCAAATGGTGGAGGGTATTAAACGTTCGGCCCGGCCGAACTTACTGCTTTTTAACTTGTTGTACATATCCGATTTAAATTATATTCAAATCCTAATGTGGACTATTAGCCCATGTAGAGTGTATTTTAAAGAAAGATTTTTTTCAATATACTTAGCTTCAATATTTGAATAAGAGATATTGAGAGATATTATCCTATCTTCCAAACGAATTGGATTTTAGGGGTATATGTTCCGATTTTTAAGCCAAATTTAAATAATTTAATTTGATTTCATCGAGATAGAGTTAAGCAATTTATTTAATGGATTTATTTAAGTTAGTGGAAAATGTCCCACCCCAAACCTTTCAACATTGCATATATATGGTCCATTATAACTATTTGTTTTATCATATTCCCCCATTTGCACATAAAAAATAATGTCACATTTGATTAATCACTGAAGAGAAAAACTGTCGGAAAGAAATTAAAAAAAATCCACTCCATTATAAAATAATGACATTTTGCGATAAGATTTCTATTTGCTGGGCAATGTCATTCAAAACTAAATGAAAGTATAAATGTCAACAAAGACCAACTGAAGTAAAAGTGTATGGAAAGTGGCATAGAAATGATTGATACCACACAAATCCTGTCACCTTATCAGTTGTAGTAATGAAGAAAAACGAACTGAAGGAAAAAGGAAAAAAACAGAAAACCTAGTAATCCCCTATCATATTTCCAGTACTATTGCAATGTGACCCGGACAGAGGAGCACAACCATCCACCCACCTTTGATGATTCCGATGACCATGATGAAAACTAGAGTAGTAGAACTCTTTAAATTACCAATTCTAATTTATCTAAAAGCACATTCACATTTCACATCCGTATCCGCAATCGCATTGTTGAATTTTAAATTAGAAAAATTAGTCTGCTTTGTTTGCTATGCACACACTCCCTTTCTCTTACACACACACACACCTACACAGCCCAACCACCTGACCACCCAACCTGGCACCCAACCTGGCACCCAACCTGGCACCCAACCAACCAACCATCCAACCGAAGAGTCAAGCAGGCAGCCAGCCAGCCTCCACCCATCCATCTAACCAACCATTCATCAGCTTTAGTTCAATTCTAGTTGCTTTCCTTTTTGGTTCGCTTGCTTGCTTGTTTGTTTGTTTGCTGTCGTCTCACATTTACTCCTCCACTTCACGTCATTTGGAAAATCAGCCAACAAACAGATAAATAAGTAGTACAACAACTATAACAACAACAACAGCTACAGCTACAAAAAGAAACATCATAATTATCCTAAAAAATGTTTTCTGCAAATGAGTTCATTGATGTGTACTTGTTTTTTACTACATATATTGTATCTCTTCTTCTCTTCCCCTCTCTTTCTTCATCTCGTTCTTGTTCTTCTCTTCCTGTGTTTGCAGATGCGACACATTGCAAACGTCTTTCATTCACTCACTCGCTGTTGGCTTGCTCGTTCACCTTGCAAAACAACAACAGCAACAACAAAAAGACAAACAGCAACATCGCCATTGCATCAGACAGTCAGTCAGTCAATCAGTCACACAAGAAGAACTCCATCCAACGTGTCTTGTCAAACAAAACTTCAAAACAAAAAACGCAAAACGCAAAACTTCATTCCTTCGCCAAGACAGGCGTCGACAGTGTGAGTGGATTGTGGTTGTGGTGCAGGCAGAGTAGGAAGAGTGAACCGCTACAAAATATTCGGCGTTTTCACATTGTTGAGGTAGTGGACCAAAGAGTCTGTGCGTGTGTGTGTGTGTGCGTCTGACCACCATCAGCGGATTCAGCAGCCGTAATACCTCCCCACCACTCCTCAAGCAAAGAGAGTGTCGAGCATAAAGCGTTGCCACCCAAGCAAATTTAAACCGCGGCCTTACCGCGGCATATTATGTCACGAGACGATTACAATCCTGTAACAAGCTCTGGTGTTCGAAGCCCGGGTCGTGCCAGACGACTAACGGAATTACCAACAGTAGATCGTTCACCATCACGAGATTACGGTGCACGTGGAAGTCCTTTAGGTGAAGATTTTATTCAAAAATTCTCATTATAATTATAAGTTTTTGTTTTTTCTTTAAACTTTGCTGGGCGTTTGTTTTTCTCTTGGACGGGAAAATCGCTGAAAGCAAGCAGTAAAAAAATGCAAATTTTCGCCACTTCCACTCCATTTCATTTTGATGAAGTCCACGGCGGTGGCTAAGGTCCACAAGAGAAACACAAACGTTTTGTTTTCATTTTGTTTTCTTTAGTTTGTAAGTTTTGTAATTCGATCTGTTATCGTGCAGATTGTTTACTTTTGTCTTAGCTTTTTTTGAATAGAAGAATTTGGCTTTTGAATTGGATTGAAATCAATATCAAGATAAAAACTAGTTTTACTTTCCTTTTTTCCACAATTTATTTAATCAAATGTAAAAAAAAGAAAAATTAGAATAAGAAATCATTTACAGTTGGTTTACAAGAGATTTATAACACCGCGTGGAAATGGCAACAAAAGTAAGAAATAGATTTAATGGTGCTGAACTACATTTTGAAGCATTTAAAGTTATAACGCGTTAAAACCAGTAAGGAAATGACAAAAGTGGGGGGGGGCTTATCCTTATGACACCATACACCTCTATGGCCGGTTATTACATCTTTCAGATAGATAAAAAAGTAATGTTGTCGGACACATAAATCGTTTTTCGTTATTACAAGTCTCATTTAAATATAAACTCTCCGATAAGCAAAAGGCCAGACCATCTTCCCTTTATCTTTTAATGTAAAGTTTACTGAATTCATGTTGCCATATTTTATATTGATAATATGACAATAACAACAACATTTATTTAAATAAAGAAATTAATAACGCAAATCGTTTATTTTATATTGAAGAACTAAAATATAAATTTATTTCCCGAAATTAATTACAAATTTGTTTTGTTTATTATTTTCAAACTAAAATGAAGATGCCATTGTGAAAAAATGCAGTGACTACCAGTTACTTTTACATAAAGCTTGCCACATCTCTGTCAAAATGCATATAATTTAATGGAAAGATGTAATAATGTGGATAGGAAAATTGCGAAAGGAAAAGTGAAGGATAAATACTTTTCCTAAAGTAAGGGATAACAAAAGTGGACTATAAAGGGAAGATATAACAAGTAAGCAAATGCTACAGTCGAGCGGGGCCGACCGTTAAATACCCTACAGCACTATAATAAACGATACAGTTTATATAGGCGAGATACTCGAAAGAATTCCTCAAGATATAGTGACCAATAATAAAAGAAACCCATCAGGTTTCGTTCTTTAATTTTCGAATAATAGCAACTTAAACTAATTTCCTCATTTCCAATTTATTGGTAAATGTTGCACTTAAATGGTCTTCCTAGATCTGGAACCCATATTTCCCAAAGACCTATATCCCTCAGAAGTGGCAAAAGATTAACATTTATTATTGGATTTTGTCTGAAACGCATCTATATGAGATACAGACATTTGACTATATTCTTCAACGAAATCAGCACTAACGAAATAGTCAGAAGTGCGTCTTTCCTGTATTTGAGAATTCTCCAAAAAGTCACTGGAATGGACATTTTCGTATTTTGTCTACAAAAGTTGGCAAACTATTTCACATATTGAATATTTATGGATGGCCATTCAAAACTGCTTGGCTTTTGCAATGTCCGGTAACCCCCATTCAAATGTGCGTGAGGATCGGGCGATAATCACGTCCTGCTGGCAATTTTGCAGTTTTTGGTCCATTTCAACCCCTAAATATATGGCGATCATCTCCAAAAAGAGTAGGCTTCTATTCTGACCCTAATCTTATCCCCATGCAAAATTTCGTAAGGATCTGGCCATAAATGCGATCTGTATATGATATCCTAACTACTTAGTTTTGTTAGCGGTAGAAATATTACCCAATATTTAATTCAAAATGAAAATATGCCAAAAATATGACAAAATTGAAAAAATATGGGAAATGTTACAAAATCAATATTTTCATATTTAGAGAGATATTTTTATGCGATTTTTTTAGACGTTTTATCTTTCCTGCCAGGAGGCCATTCTGAATTAATGAGAACTGTTGAAATCAGTTAAGCCGTTCTCGACATATAAGAGATCTTTCAAGCATATCTTCTTTGATATCACACATATTTTGCTATATATCCGATCAATGTAAAGGTCAGAAGTAACCTTGTCATGGCCTTGTGATTTAGCCGGGATTTAAAATATTCGCGGTTTAATGAAAAAATTTGATTTTTTTTTTCAACACAAAAGATATGGTATATTTTACCCGCTAAATATTATCAGATGACCACCCAAAATTGGTAGGCTTCTTCCCCGCCCTCAACTCAAACTACATGCGAAATTCTGCGTCGATTGGTCTATAATTACGACCTGTATAGCTACTGCAAAATCCGACATTTTTTCAGTATTTGGTCCATTTCAACACCTAAAAATTTGGCGATCATCTCCAAAAGGAATAGGCTTCTATTCTAACCCTAACCCCACCTTCGTGCAAAATTTCGTAAGGATCGGGCCATAATTGCGACCTGTAGCGGGATTACAAATTAACATGGACAGACGGACAGACGGACAGACGGACAGACGGACGGACGGACATACGTAGCTAGATCGACTCAGATCGGCGAGCTAGGAAGATCCATATATACTTTCCTATATGGGAAACATTTCGAGGTGTTACATAAATTCTGGCCCAATCAAACTTATAATACCCCCAACACATAGTGTTGTAGGATATAAAAACGGGCCTATGAAAATTTACCAAGAATTTCCCAAACAAATATACGTTTATATTGGGTATTTGTAGTTGTGAACGTTATTAAAAAGTAGGGGGGGAGGGGGTTTGAATGGGCGATAGACTGAATATTATTATTATTTTTATTATTTATTAATAGATTGGTAAATTACAATTATATGTTATACAATTAGCATGTGTTACAGAATATATGTGATAAATTACAATCTATATTTGGCGTAGCAAGAATGCTGTATACCAATATATTTAAAATGTGTACATTTGTAAATTTAGAATCATTAAAAATTAAATTCGTGTATTAATAAATTTCTGTACCTAATACAGACTGAATATAGTGTAGCTATAGCTTACTCTGAATCGATATCGTCTAAATTTACCGAATGCATTTTTTCAGGGTATATATTATGACTCTGAGAAGGTTTTAAAATAAATTCGGATGAAAAATAAATTAAATAAATAAAATTCAATAAAAGTCTTTGTAAGTGCACAAATCGTTTTTAGTTGTTCAGATACTGGGAGCTATATCCACACCATAGCCGATTTCGAGAAAAAAGAAAGGAATTTCCGAGCTCTATAAAACATCTGGTACCAAATATCATTGTTTTACAGTGCATATTCCGCATGTGAGGACTTAAAACCCTAAATCGGATGAAGCATTTAAACATTAAATCGGATAAAACGTGCACAATTTAGGATATATATGGGAGCTGTATCCAAATCTGCACCGATCTTGACAAAATTTGATGCACTTATTTCAAAACTGTTTCTGATACCAAAGAGCATTGTTGTGGAATAAATATTACACTTGTGATGGACTTTAAACCCCAAATCGGAAAAATCATATATGTTGGAGCTATAGCTGCAGCTATATCTGAATCGATTTACACTAAATTTAAAGTACTGGTCTCTAGGATGAATCCAGTTGTAATTGCCAAAATTCAGGTCATTTGTTGATATTAGCTATTTGGTGCACAATAAACCTGATACTGGATAAATATATAATAATCTGAACCGATCTCGATAAAATTTGACAGAGGTATTTTTGAGTAGTATCTAATGTCAGGTACCAAATTTCATTCTTGTTAAGTGCAAATTACGTATACATATTACATATTACATATATATGGGAGTTATAGCTATAACTGAACCGATTTCCTCCAAATTTAAAGTGCTTGCTTCAAGACCGAATTCGGTGGGATGTACCAAAATTCAAGACATTAGGACTTATATTGGCCATTTACTGCACAAATCGGTTGAAGCTATATGGAAACTATATCTAAATGTGATCCGATTATCACCAATATCCATAGCGTTCGTCCTTGGGCCAAGAAAATATTGTTTGCAAAATTTCATCTCAATCTGATAATAAATGAGGCTTGCATTTTATTCACAAGAACAGGCGGACAGACGGACGGACGGACTGGAGGACTGACATGCATAAATCGACTAAGAGAGTGATTCCATGAAGATTCTCAAAAAAAAAAAAAAAAATAAATAAATAAAATAAATAAATTAATAAATAAATACGTTTAAAGTTCCGTACAAATCTTATAAATACCGAATGTAGCCATACGTATACATGTACCTGCATAGACACCTTTTGTCATAAGCCTTTACAATATTCAAATGCGAAATTTGAAAAAAAAAATCGGTGTACAACGTCGCTAAAATCATCAAAATACCGAATATCGGGAGGTACCGCTATGTGGGGGCTATACGAAAACGTGGACCTACACAGACAATTTTCTGTCATAGGCTGTAGTATCCAATACGAACTTCAAATACCAAATTTTAAGCAATTCCGGAGAAAAATGTCGCTAAAATCATCAAAGTACCGAATATCGGGAGGTACCGTTATATTGGGGCTATACGAAGACGTAGACATGCACAGACAGTTATCTGTCATAGGCTGTAGTATCCATTTCGAACTGCAAATAACAAATTTTAAACAATTCCGATAAAAAAATGTCGCTAGAATCATCAAAATACCGAATACCGGGAGGTACCGTTATATGGGGACTATACCAAAACGTGGACCAATATGGCCCATTTACTTAACACTTAAATTCCTGCAGACATAATATACATAGGAGTAAAATTTTGTTCATCTACTTCATTTCGTTCGGAAACTAGAGTAATTTCCCAGACGGACGGACATCGCTAAATCGATATAGAGTTTTATGCTGATAAGGAATGTATACTTTGGGGGGTCTACAAACGGCATGACAAACTTAATATACCCTCCATACAATGTGG